GCGGGAAAGAACTGAGAAAATGCCTATTCTCTAGGAGGGGAAGTTGCGAATTTTTACTGGACAAATTTTTAAAAACTTGCAAGTGAGAAAACAGGTGATCGCATGCTGCTGTGTTCAATTCAAACTAATAAGTAAATCATTTATGGGGTTTTTATAGTTGAAATTAAGAAAATAAACCTATTTAAATATAAAACATTTAAGACATGAAATACATATTGTTTTATTATGAAATTGCTACGAATAAATCTCAAATTTATCAACTGTTCATGAAACTTCCAAATTGTTACTGGTATTGCGTTCACGTACTTTTTGGATATTTTTCTACATGACAGCAATTTCTCAGAAATTAAGTTACTGGAGAGTTGCTGAACAAACCTAAAGTTCCAAGAAATGCAAAATTAAAGTTAGACGAAGAATCGAGAAAACAAAATTTCGATGTAGTTAAATACAATTAAATCCGTAAAAAATTTCTGTCAGTGTCAAAAACTTTATAAAAAATTTATTCGAATAGTCTATAGAAAATATAAAACCTTGGACAGACACCTTGCCGAATAGATCTCGAAACAAATCTAAAAAATAAAAAAATCCATAAAAACCCAAGAAAAAATTAAACAAAAAAATCAAAAGCATTTCGAAAACAATAAACACAAAAAATTCCCAAAAATCCTGCTCGGTCGAGAAACTCGATAAAAACCAAAAAAACCGAACAAATCTCGAAGATTCCGAGCAAAATCTTAGCGAATCCCGAAGAGTCACAAAGAACTCCAAAAGCAACCAAGAAACTAAATATAAAGCAGTCTGAAGTGAAAACTCGTGCCACTCAACAAAATGCGGAGGGCCCCAAAAATAATTCGAGGAAATACTCGAAGAGACCTGGATAAAAACGAAAAACCTTACACCCAAATTTTGCGGTATAAATCTGGAAAGGTTTCCGCGGAAACTTCATAATATAAAGATAAATCTTTGCTTGATTTAACATTAATTTTCTTTAAAATGCAATGTGTAGAAGTTCAGATGAACTGAGGTGAATGAACTTTCGAACAAAAAAATGTCTCCTCGAGACAAAAACACCGATATATCACATTTTAAGATATGACTTTAAATGCCGAAGATATTACGAAAAATGTAGAAGTGCAACCCGAAATTCCTAAAAAAAAACTAATTTATTGCGAAATTGCCTTGTGAAAATATTTTAGACTCAGAGGTGTACGTCGAACGTTTTTGTCGGCAAATTCCCAAGAAAATCTCGAGAAAAAAACACCAAAAACCCAACTTACCCAACTAATCTCGATGATTTCCAGCAAGTTCTAAACGAATTCCGTAGAGACACAAAAATCCCCGAAAGCTGCCAAGAAAAAAAAATCCATCCGAAAGTTTTTATTCCCCCCATAGTATATACATGAAAATCAAAGGTGAAAAGTGAATTGGTTCAAGGAAAATGAAACTCATGATAAGGCTGATTTACCTTTATTTGTTGGAGTTTTCTCAGAAACCTTCCGATGGATGAAAAATTTTCGGGTGAAGCTTTTTTCAGACGAAACTTAGGATAAGGCAGAATAATTTTTGTTGGATTTTACTGTATTTTTTTTTTAATTCATGTTATGAAAGCTGAGATGAACTAAGGTCAAAGGCTTTCTGAACAAAAAAAATTTCTCCTCGAGACAAAACCCCCCATATATCACACTTTAAGATACGACTGGTAAATGTCAAAAATATGGCGAAAAATATAAATGGCTTATCAAAAAAAAATAAAAATCGAAACAGCCTTGCAAAATTACTTTAGACCCAGGGGTGCGCAACGAACGTTGTTTATTTGCGTACTGTCTAATACAAATATATGTACTTACATTAGGCTGTATCACTCCCAATACAAAAGAAAATCGGTACTTTTTCCACTGGAATTATAAAATCTATTATATTTTAAGACTTTCACCAAAATATTTCGTAAAAATTTTAAGATTTACGTGTGCTGGACCGATTTGAAAATACCTCCAAAGATTGAATTTTTTTATGAATAAAAAGTATTAAAAACCCTCATAAGATGAAAACAGTTTAAACTTAAAAAAATTTGTTTGAACTTTTTCATAGATTGGGTTAAGAAAAACTTAACTTAATAATAACTCCGCCAAAATAAACCCATTCAAAGACTGAAAGAGAAAGGTAAGATGAACGAGCGTCAGTCCGAGTTGAATTAGGATGAGTTGATATTTGAAAAAAAAAATATTTAAATTAGGAAGTGAATTAGTTTCTTTGCAAATAAATAACCCATAAGACTAAATCGGCATAGTTTTGGCCCAATTATTCAGTTTTACTTAAACCCATCTTTGAAACAAGTTAAAAAAAAAACAACATAAAAATCGCATTGTTATGATAAGCTGTTTTGTCATTTGAGGAGATTTTTTTCAAATATCCTTTAAGATAGTATTTTTGCTCATAAAAAGCTCCATTTTAGGAGATATATTCAAATCGGCCTAGCTAGCGTAAATCTTAATATTTTTCTGAAATATTTTCGATAAAGTTTTCAAATATACCATATTTTGTAATCCCAATGGAAGAACCGCAACTTTTTTTGGTGATACACTCTAATGTACATATATTTAAGAACAGTAGACAAAAATTATTAAGAACCAAACCTAAATTAAAAATTATGTTCTGAATTTATTAATTGTAAAACTTTCTAACATATTTGTTATTTTTTTTCAGAATTTGTGAAGATTTTGTGGTGGATTTGCATAGAGGTGAGTTTATCATTGAATTTTAATGCTTTATGGTTATTCTTTAATTAGATGGCGCCTGGAAAAAATAAAAATAAAATTGGAAATCTGTATGAAAGTGTACATATATTGGCCATTTTTTTTAACAAAGTTTTTAAATTCTTCCTTTTATTTCTAGTCGCTAGAAGTACGGGCAAAGAAAAGTAATCATCTTGAAAAGTAGGTGTTTGATGCGCATTTTAGCAAAAGTTGCATTAAAAATAAATGAGGCAAGCGGATATGTTTCAAACCTTGCATAAAATTGGCCTAGTCCATGCTGACGAATAATATCGCTCTGCAATTTCGTGCAGAAAGAATTTAATTATACCTTGTAATAAAGGATTATAAAATGAAGATATTCGCCTTTTAAGAATTAAAATACCACAAATTTCCTTGTTGAAGTCGAACCTACCGAATAGTCCTACTTTGCCCACGCAACATAAAAGATTTATTTTCCTAGATGCAACTGAATAGAATTGACAATTAAATTTTGTGATGAGATCAAAATTACAAAAAAAAATATTTCTGACTAAAAAAACACAAGGTGGCAACGCTATTTCACGGGTTAAAAATCACTTTACGCTAGGGCTGCCAGATTCTGAAACGGAGAAAGGAGTACATTTCTATTTTCGATAGAAAAAAAGCAGTACAGAACTTAAAAAAGGATACAATTTCTGTTTTAATTTTTTTGTGCAATTTATTGTTACAAATTACTTACCATTATTTAGATACAAACAAACACGGATATCATAGAAATCTTTTTCAAAGCAACAATAAATGTTAAGAATAAATAACTAAATTCTACAAAAGAATTCCAGGCTATTCCTGAATGTATGGCAATTTTTTATTTTATAATTTAAAACTTTTCTGATTTTTATACCCGAGCGCCCTGCACCTACCTGCCTACGACCATGCTTACACCTTTTCACTATCACACTTAACTTTACCTACTAAATAGTGATTGCCACAATATGAATGGCAAAGTACAGGGCGTAAAATAGTAACTGTCGCAAAGGTTATTCGAAAAATAAAAGAGTCCTTTAAAGATTTTGCAAAAAAAAAAGTATTTTTTGCTAACTTTATAAATAGTTTACTTTAATTTTAATAATTAGATTTAAAACTTTAATCCTTATTTCAATTTGCCAGCTTTGGGAGATAAGTACATGCTTTTTTCAGGTGTATTTTTTCTTAGATTTTGTATAAACAAAAAACAAAACTGTATAGGTATAGGGTTGGTCGAATGAATGGCCTCCTAGTCACCAGTTCCGAGTCTTTTCAAATGCTGAGTATGAGGCCTTATGTTGGGCAAACGGCGGAGTATAAAGGAGCCAAATGGAGGAAATTAGCCTATGGTTACATAAGATATCGTCACTACACACGAATAATGGCGCGCTAGTGTTTTGACGGCGAAAAAAGGCGCGTAAAAAAATTTTCCGGAAAAAGATGCTTATGAAAAACTTCGGCGAAGTATATTAAGAGTCTTTGACGCTGAAGTTTTTTTATGCGTCTTTTCTCGCCGTCGTTTTTTGAGCTTGCGCCTTTATTCGTGTCTAGTGACATTATGTAATAAAGTAGCCGACGAAGACTTGCGTGCCGCTTGAGCTTTTCTCTCAAAGTGTTTACCGCTGGTAAACGCAAATGAAGGTTAAAATTTAAAAACTTATTAATAAAATTTAAGTAAAATCTGTGGATAATTAACAATAAACTAGTTTTTTTCGCAAAATCTATAAAGTTCCCTTTTATTTTTCAATAAAACCTGTGCAACAGTTATTATTTTACGCCCTGTATATGATAAAATATTAATAGCTGGAAAAAGGAGTACAAAAGAAATACAAAACCAAGAAAGGATAACATTTGCAGATATTTTTTTTTGGGAGTACAAGGGAAACATTACAATAAAAAAAGAGTACGTTTACTCCCAAAAGCAGTACCTCTGGCAACCCTAATTTACGCCCAGTAGCGAATTGTAAATTCATAAAGAATTTAATGGCTCAAAAATTTGCAATTCAAAAGAATAAAAGTATAATTCACGGTTATTTATTTACTGCTTGTAATAAATTTGCTTTGCAGCAAAAATAATTTTTTATTCATCAACTGTTGGCATGCGCTGCAAAATTCACTGCCATTAAACAGTTTGAAAGCCACTATAGGAGCCACTGTCATTTTCCAAGCGCATGTAGTCATCTTGCTCGCACTTGGCATAATTGCCCAAACAACTGTCACTTTTTTTCAGTTGACAAGCTCGTCGTGAATTTTTATACGTTTTTCGTTTGTTCTCCGTGAAATTTTCGTGTTTTCTATAAAATATTATCATTAAAATTGTGTAAAAGTATTTAAAGGGTGTATTTAATTTAAACCTTGTGCGTAAAAGTGAAAAAATCGCTGAAAAGCATGCACGTGGGTGTTGAAAACAAGAAAATCAAGTATTGCTGATTGGAGTGAGGCGGCTTTTCCAATTAGCATCGTCCCACCATACACGGTTCGTGTGTTTGTGTGCGCGCGAACGCCTGTTTTTGACAGCTAACAAAAATCGATTTGTTTACATGCGAATTATTGAGGAAATGCTAGTTTGTTTTATTGAAAAGTTCAATTAAACTATAGTGCAACGTATTTTGTGTGAATAAAAGTGAAACGTCTTGAAAGTCTGCAAAAAATAACGGCGTTTAACCAGTGAAATATGTTGTTTTTGTATCGTGAATGACTCTAGCCGGCACTGTGGAGCCATACTGCTGCGTTGACGTTGACTGCGTCGCCAACTTCTGCCTTTTGTTTGTGCAGTTCGGGCTGCTGATTGTTGTTGCTTGAATATTATTTACCTGTGCTATGTTGCACAAGTGCAGCCTTAAATTAAATCCCAATTGTAAATGCAGTCAAAATCTACAAGATATCTGGTAATTTTTAGTGCAAAATATTAAATTGCCTGCAGCGAGGGCCAAAAACCAGTTTCCTCTACTAATTTGTCGCGTTAACGCCTTTTTCCAACGCCAAAATAAAGTTACTTTGTCTGGCGGTATAGAGGCGCTTGGGGTGCGTGGGCGTACCACCAAGAAGCATAGATGAAGTAGTCTTGTTGTAAAAGATTAACGAGTTGAAAATAAAATAGCTAATGCAAGAAAACCAGTTTACAGTGTCTGCTGGCGTACAATTTTCGCCTGGCAGCTGTGCTGGCGTGCAATCGAAGTAAAGTGTGTTAAATAAATAAAATTTGTGAGATTTCTGTAAAATCAAACATCTATTCCCCTTTAATCCCATACAAGCAGCCCACGCATTACATAGATATTGCTGTGAAAAAAGCCGGGTGTTGAACATTTTTCATGGATTACGCTTTAGTGTTGACTCAATTGTGCTTTTGTTCTTCGAGCCTTACGACTTGAACATACGTCGGTTTCTACGGTTGGGAAATATTGTTTAAAAGGTACGATGTATTGACTAATTTTCAAGTACTTTGGGTGCTGCGTTTTTATTGAACGCTTAAAATTATAACTTATTTTTCTACTGATATCAAACATAAACATACCCTAGATTGAGTGCCTTCTATGTACATGTATCACCGGTTGCTCTTAGGATTCAGCTCTATTATCTTATCAGTTTGTACGCATTAAAGCATTATAAACAAAATGTACGACAACAACTGCGTGTGCCTACCTTAGTTTAATTAGTAAACTAAATGCTCAAGAATTGTAGTTTTTAAAGTCAGCGCTATGCACGCAAGCCAATACATGTGCGAATGGTATGCTCTTATCCATTAGTAAAGTGCTATCATAACCAAGACAAGGTCTAAATTAGCTGCTCATATAATTTTGCTTTATTTGTTAAGTAAAGGTAATTGTGCAACTAAATAAATGTTGTGATTGCAATTGATATCAACTGGCTTTAATAGTGCCTTCAATGGTGGTCACATTTTAAATGGAAAACGAGTACCACTGAACTCATTGGACTTATATTTAGTTGTTGTTTTTGTTTTAGCTGCTAAGTACTTATATTTAGTAGTTAGCTTTGGCGGCGGGGTACTAGAGCATAGAGTCATGAGATCAATTTAATCTTCCCGGATTCTATTTCCCGTCAAATAAAATTCACGGTTGAACCTAGTTTTAACACTTCCAGAGAATATCTTGGAATTCAGTATTTTTTTCTAGGAGACAATACGCTTTTTAATCGCTGAAGTGTTTAATCGTTGTTGTTGTAACAGCATGAGATTTCCCCACGCACATTTTTGGGGAATCAGCTTAGTTGCCAGTTCTTAGTCTGGTATAGATCTGGGTGGTTCCCGTTATGTAGACCAGACTGTCGTGGCAACGAGTTGTTGTTGTTGTTGTTGTTGTAGCGGCTACAACAACCCCGCCCAGATCGGTTGGTATCTCAGTCGTTGTCGTCAAGTTCCACTAACGGTAACCCTAGGAAGCGTGCAGCTTCTGCGGGGTTTGCCCATAAGGACAAGGTCGTTAGGGATGTCGGGTTTGCCGGGCATGCGAAGAGATGTTTCGAGTCATGTGGGGTCTCTCCGCATGCCGGACATTCGTTAGGCACATCCTCATTCAGCCTACTCAGGTAGGAGTTTAACCTGCTGCAGTAGCCGGAGCGAAGTTGTGCAAGTGTGGTGCGCGTCTCCCGAGGCAGATGAAGCTCCGTCTCGTCAATGTCCGGCGGTGGTGTGCCTAGAACGGCATTCACAGGTCTAGAGTCTACATAACTCGAGACTGAGTCCCTGTGAATGCCGTTCAAGGCCTGTCTGTAGGCTGTCGGGTCCAGAGGTTGCTTAATGAACCTCTGGACTTCGTCCGTTAATTCATATAGATGCCTCCTGACGTGCCTAGGCGAGGGCTCCTCTGCAAGCAGCTGTCTGCACGGGTGGCCACTTCTGTGGGTCCAGATCAGGAACTGCTTGCAGAGCATTATATTGTGCTCCTTTACCGGGAGCATTTGCGCCTCGCCGTGCAGGTGGTGTTCAGGCGTCATCAAGAGGCATCCCGTCGCTGTCCTCAGTGCGGTGTTTTGTGCGGTCTGTAGCTTCGTCCACTGCGTCCTACTAGTCCCAGGCGACCACACTGGCGCTGCGTAGTTCAAAACCGGCCGGCCTATTGCCTTGTATGTTGCCAGCAACGTTTCTTTGTCTTTGCCCCAAGTACTGCCGGCTAGCGACTTGAGGACCTTGTTGCGGCTCTGTACTTTATTGACAATAGCGGTTGAGTGCGCAGAGAAGGAGAGCAGGCTGTCGAAAGTTACTCCGAGTATTTTGGGGTTATTCACCGTCGGAATTGGTGTGTCATCGACGTGAATCCCCAGCGGTAGCCTGACCTCCTTCGTCCAGGTTGTGAACAGGGTCGCGGAGGATTTCGTAGGGGAGAGGGCTAGACACTTTGCAGTGAAGAAGCGAGAAAGTTCGGAGAGATAGCCGTTTACTTTCGAACACAGGTCATCAATTCCATTCCCAGTCGCCATAATCGAGCAATCGTCGGCATAGGAGACAATCGAGACTCCCTCTGGTGGTTGAGGGAGCTTTGAAATATAAAAGTTAAACAGTAGCGGGGAAAGGACACCACCCTGAGGAACCCCCTGTTTTATTTTTCGCTGCTTACTCGTTTTGTCTCTGAACATTACCGACGAATGTCGACCACTTAGATAATTTGCCGACCACCGTTTGAGCCTCTGTGGGAGAGAGGAGGCCTCTATATCTTCTAGTAGCGTGGAATGGCAGACGGTGTCAAACGCCTTTGACAAGTCCAACGCTACTAGAATCGTTCTCTCACAGGGACGGTTACGGTTAAGGCCACGAGTTATCTGAGTGTTTATGGCGTTAAGTGCTGTTGTTGTGCTGTGCACTTTACGGAAACCATGCTGATGCTTCGCTGGGGTCAGGTGATTTGTGAAGTACGGGAGTAGCAAGGCCTCGAGTGTCTTCGCTACCGGGGAAAGGAGTGTAATCGGACGATACGAATCTCCTTTGTTTGCAGGTTTCCCCGGTTTGAGCAGTGGGACCACTCTCCCCACCTTCCAGATGTCTGGGATGATGAGAGTGGCCATTGACAAATTGAGGACCTCCGTTAGGTACGCTACCCCCGCAGGACCCAAATTTTTCAGCATCAGCATGCATATACCGTCGGGACCCATGGCTTTGGAGGCTTTCGCCTTCCCGATGGCCACCTGAACTTCACCGCAAGTGAAAGCAAGGGGGGCACAATTTGTTGGCAGTTTGTGCAGCCTTCTGGTCACTCGACGCTTGGCTTTGTCCACCGGAGGATGCAGTATGAACTGCCGGCTAAAATAGCTCGCGCATCGCTCCGGGTCCGACGAAGCATGGTCGCCGAAGGAAATTTCGACTCTGTCGTCGTGCTTCGTCGGATTAGACAATGACCTCACGGTTGACCAAAGCTTGCTCACACCAGAGGTGAAGTTGCAAGTCTTCAGATGCTCCTCCCACTTCTTCCGCTTATGTACGTTTACAAGTTGCCGAATCTCCGCGTTGAGATCCCTGATACGGGGATCTCCGGGATCGGCCTGACGAAGGCTATCACGCTCATTTGCTAAAACAGCCGCTTCGGCAGGGAAGTTTGGACGTGGGTCCGATATGCACCCTGCCGGTATGAAGCGGGCTGCAGCAGCAGTGATAGCCCTGCGGAACTTACGTTCACCGAGATGGACGTCGGTTGGTGTGGGGAGCGATGTGAAGGTGTTTTCAGTAAACTCCGCGTAACCTTTCCAGTCAGCTTTAGAAAAGTTGACATAGGTCCGGTGTTTGGCGGAGGCAAAGTCGGTTGGTTTATCAATCGAGATGACTATGGGTAGATGGTCTGATGCTAGAGTCAGCATAGGTCGCCACGTTATGCTGTTTATCAGACCAGCGCTGACTATTGTGATGTCTGGCGAGCTACTGCAGTTACCCATAATCCTGGTGGGTGCGTCGTCGTTCATTGTGCAGAATGTCGAATCGTCTATCTGCTCAGCCAAGTCTGTTCCCCTACGATCGTTTGACAGGCTTGAGTGCCAAAGATCGTGGTGCGCATTAAAGTCACCTACTACCATACGGTTTTCACCTCTGAGGAGCGCACCTATATCAGGGTGATATCCTGCCGGGCAGCAGGTATGTATATATTAAATATTTCGAGCTCGACATCGCCTGACCGGATAGCGATGCCCTGACATTCTAGGGTGGTATCCCTGCGGTCGATGTCTGCTTCGATAAGACGATACTGCACGGTGTGGTGCGTGATGAACGCTAAGCCACCACCATTATCTCGCTCGCGATCTCGACGGTGCACGTTGTACCCGGCACAATTCAACAAAGTTGAATTGCTGTGCAACTTCGTCTCTTGGACCGCAGCTATTAATATACCATGCCGACACATAAAGGCGGTTATCTCCTCAATCTTGCTCTGTAGCCCGTTACAGTTGAATTGGAGGAGCTTCATGTGGTTCGGGAGACGTGTTGTGATGTGGGGTGTGAGTGAGGTGTATGTTCTTGCCGCCGTTGGCTGTGTGTGCTGCTGGGGTGATTGCCTCCCTGTGGTGGTAGTGGGGGGCGTCGCAATTGATGTCAGCGACCGAGCAGCGCAACACGGGCCCTCGAAGTTCCCCGTCCAATCTCGCGTGGTGCGCAGACCTGAACATGCCCTAAAGTGGCACCAGCCAAGGCAGGTGTTGCACTTGACTGATGTCACATTACGGAATATTCTGGTCTGACATACCGTGCAGATTGTAGGGGGAACCAAGAGTTGTTGGCGGCGGCGTGTGGGTGGTGGTGCGGTTGTGTGTGTTATGTGGTCTGTGGTGGCTGTGGTATGTTGTTGTGTTGTGGCGACTGTGTGTGGTTGCTGTGTGAGTGTGTGGGGCTGCACGGGCGGACTATGGGTTGCCGTGGAGGCTGCTCTATTTGAGCAACAGGGGGCCACGTACGACGTGGTCCACTGTCTGTGTGTCCGTAGTCCCGAGCAGACCCTGAGGTGACTCCACCCCTCGCAGGCATTACACTTGACTGAGGTGGAGTTGTGGTGTAAACGTCTTCGGCATACACAGCAGGTGTATATTTCTGGCCCAGGGTTTGACTCGATGCCAGCCCTGAGTAGGAGAATGCGTAGTGAATGTTGCCCTATGGACGGACAACTTCTGAGATACTTCGCCGACCTAAACGGGGTTAGATCGCCGAAACAACAGCCCTTGGTCGGGTGAAACCCGAGTCATTCCGGTACGTAGAACCGGCTGTCGTGGGAACGAGTATTTATGGTTGGTTTGTGGCCTGTTTTGTTATCTACCGTATCTGGGTCAAAGTGGTCAGTAGGAGTGCCTTAGATAACATTTTTCCCCAGCATCTGGTTCTAGCAACAACTAAAAGAAGTCTATTCACACACCGGCCACCCCTGACAAACTTTTGTGCGTACATCTCCAATAGAAAAATAGAAAACGTTTGTTAATTTTGGCGGT